CAGGAGACTTTTTTAAGAAATCAGGAGATTTTTCACAATGTTAAAAAGATTTTAAAATGATAAAAATATAGTTTTTCATAACGAATTAACTTTAAATAGTTACTAATTCTTAAATGCAAGCAACACAAAAATACCTTACACATAAAAAGACAATTTTATTACTTGCATCATTTAAGGAAAAAAAAAAAAAAAAAGACACTTTAATCAGTTTTCGTACAAATGTTATGAACAGTGGCAGATTTTGCTTTTCTTAAGAAAGAAACTTCATAATTTTGTTCATAGCAATTGCCACATAGGCCTGCTTTCGCTAATAAAAGTTTTTCTAATGCGTCATCACTAATATTAGTTATGCAGCTGTTGGAACTGTTTCAATTTTTCCTTCCTTTTAGAACTCCTTTTAAGATAATAATAAATATCAACAATGTGTTTATCCACATTTATTGTTAAAGAAGCTGCCCCCTTTTTCACCTGCTAAATTTAAGAGGTGACAGGTGCACCTCATAATCTGCAAATCTGAATTTTTCTTTCTTAAGATGCCTGCAACAACAGTCTTCAAGCCTATTACAGGGTTCATAGCCACATTTTAGTTAAAAAAATAAGCACCTATAAGAACTTTTCAAGCACATTTTGAGAAAAAAATAAGCACCTGTCTAATTACATTATACACAACTGCATAACCTTAAAAGAAAAATTAGACTTGTAATTTAAAATATGAGCAATGCAATATTTATTAAAGGAATGAGCATTAATTACCTCAACCATGGAAAACAACTTTTTTTTTTTTTTTTTTTTTTTTAATTTTAAATGACAGTTCAATTTACAGAATTAGTTTACAATGACAGAAAAAAAAACTATGCACAACTAAACTATATAACAAGATTTAATGATGAAATTTCAGTTCAAAATATAGAAAATAAACAATAATAAGCCATATTAATTGTATTCGTTTGACATCTAATAATAAATACAATTTATTTTTCCACTCGTATTAATATTTAAATAATTTAACTTAAATCAAAATTTGAACATTTTCTAAATTTTCATTGCATAACAGTTTTCCCTTAACATATATCCCAAGCAAAGTAATTTAAGTAAAAAAGAGGAACATTTCTGAAATCAGAAGATGGGAAATTGCTTCATGCAGTCATCCTTTAACAGTAAAAGCTTAACTAACCCGCACACTCGGAAATTGCCGAATATTCTGGATAGTAACTGGAAAAAGAGGAGTGGGGGAGATTGCAGCCGTTCTTTAGATTTCTCGGCTAAATAAATGATTTTGACATTTCGATATGTGCATCATATAAAAATAGACCAACGGAACTCAGAAATATTCTGCTTAGACAGCGCAGTAAAAGTCTTTTAAGTGTTCATAAACAAATCTCAGACTGAACATCAAAATTAATTATCTCTGCAAAATACTGCAAACGTTATTGCGCAATACGCGCTGCGTAATTTTCCGACATGTGATATTACGCAATCGGAATCAACAGCTGCCAGTATTCAAAGAATAAAGAATTAAATAAAAAAAAAAAAAAGAAAAAGAAAGAAAGACTCACTAATCTGGGGTGTTTCTGATTCTAATTTCCAACAGACTGCATTAAATTTCCGAAATAGAATCAATCTTTGCTTGGGTTGGGTAGACCGCAAAAACTTTTAGTCCTATTCAATCCAGATTGGACAATGACAAAAAAAAAAAAAAAAAAAAAGAGGTCTGCTGCTTCAATATTAGAGATTTTGCGGAGAAACTCCCAACCTCCGTACTGTATAATGTATTGGCAAAGAAAATGAAATTATTTTGACTATTGGATTACTTTCCTTTTATTTAAGCCATTCCGAATATTATTCCTTAGAAAGCTAATCTGTGTAAAAACACACCCAATTTTGGAAGTTTATCTATACTTCAGGAGTTACTGCAATTATATTATTATAAATATTCATACATATGCTCATAATATAAGCATAACGATCATAATAAACACGAATATGAAGTGACCACGCGGAACGAGAATGCAAATTTATTAAAATCTTGATAGAAATTCAAACTTCCTCCCACCCAAATACTACACACGTTTGAATTGCTATAAAGATTTTACGTTTTCGCAATTCTTTGGTCAATAGAACGACGTGCTGTACTCTCGCGCGCACCATAGGTTATGTTAATGCAGAGGAAGGGGGGAAAGTAATTTTCGGGAGTATGATTCACCATCTGACGTTGCATATAAGGAAGAAAAGTTGTTTATTTAGTTTCGGCTTTGGTACGGGGAAAAATGCGTGTTCATTAAAAATAAAGGATAAAAAAAAAAAAAAAAAAAAAAAGCACTAAAAGCAAAAAATAAGCACTAAAAACAAAAAAATAAGGGCTTAAAGAAAAAGTAAGCACCTATAAGGGCCTTTATATTTTACTTTCAAACATAAGGACTTATAAGCACTTGTAAGGACCGCTACAAACCCTGCTATTATTACTGGCATTATCGGCACCAAGTGCTAAGCAAATTATACAGAGGGACTGCATTTTCTTTTAAAGTTTTAATAATTAGCTGTGCTATATTAAAGCCTGTTGAATGTCCTTCTAAAGTAAGGACAGAAAGTAAACTTCACTCAATTTCTGAAGACTCTGGATTAAAAAAAGAAACAACAATTGGATACAGTTTTGAATCGGTATTATTGCTTCCGTAGAGAGGCAGAACGGAGCTGTTTTAACGCAATCAATAACTGAAGATTTATTTTTCAAATCCAGTTCTTTAACAATTGCACCTGTTTTGATTCTTGAGTATTTCTTATCAATTTCACTATCGGGAAACATTTTTCTAAATAAAACTGCAGCATGATCCGATGCATTCAGTGGCAGGTTGTGTTCCAGTAAAAAGGCAGAGAACAGACATTCTGCAATAATAACTTTTCGGTCCTTTGTTTCCGAAGAAAAGTTTAATTTTTCGTTTCTTTTCAAAACAACTCAGTCCTTGTGTTTTTTGTGTACGCACATGCTTGAGAACATCCGCCCTTCCACCATGCGAAATCAAAAAATCGCAACGACAGACGGTACACATCGCAAATTTATTACATTTCCTTAAGGAAATAATGGAAGGAAAGTCAACTGTGTACGATTTTTGAAACGTACACGAGTATTTCACCTTTCTCACAGATAAAGCAAAATATGATAACTTCTAAAACTATTTCCCGAAGGCATGTGTACTCACACAACTCAGGACATGATGAACGAAATAACTAAAGAACATACAACTAACAGCTCTGAGCTTGCTTGGTGCTCATTGGCCGATATATGGCAGATGACACACAGTGGAGCATGATGTTCATTGGAAAACTGGAGAACGACGTTTCTGGATACGTATGCTCTTACTCACAAAGCAGAAATTCTCATTTGATTCGCAAGGTTTTGTTTTAGATATAATCTAGATAGAATTCAATTGCTTTCAGACATCCAAAATCCCTTTTTTTTTTTTTTTTTGTTCATATAATGAAGTATTAAGCCAAGCTCCATAAAAATCGGGAGAAATTTTAAGAATAAGAAAAAATCGGAAGAAATATATTGTAAATCGGGTTGGCAACTCTGGACATGAAAAACACAATTTGAATTTTGTCAATCGGCCCAGTACAACAGGAAATATAGAACAGTCACTTTTTCTTAAATTATTTTGGGGGGGGGGCAGTGTGCCATGCAATGAAGTACACAAAATTAAATACAAATATTAATTGATAAAACATTGCTTGAAACTCTAAAAATTTACAAATGTCTACAGTAGATTCATATAAGACAAAAATTAATACATGATAAGAAAAAAAATTCACATGAAATAAAGTTTAATAAAAAAAATATTCTGAAAATCATTAGAGGTGGGGAAATGAAATTTGCCTCAGTTAAGTTTCATTAATTCAATGAATTTCATCCATTGTTAGAAAACATTTTTCTTGGTAAATGCTAAAAATTAAAAACCAAGTCATTGAATGATTTACCAGAAGACTGGGACACGTGATGAAATACTGCTGTCTCCCAGTAAAACCAGCAGTTTGCAGCTATGACATATGTATACAAAAGTAATAGGGGAAGCAGAAAGTAATGTCGCTTTCTTACATTAAATTCAAACAAATACATTTTTTACAAGTTTTTATTTTTAATCAATAATATAATCCCCCTCGTTATCAACAAATCTTTTGCCATCAAATGTGCAGATTTTCAATCCCGGACCGATAAAAATCAATTGGTTTTTGGGTAAAATATCTGGAGAGGACATTCTGGACATCATCCAAATTTTCAAATTTTTTGCCATTAAGAAAATGTTGTAGGGATCTGAATAAATGGAAATCCAATGCTGCGTGTGATATCAGCCGAGTATGGTGGGTGAGTATGGCAGTACCTCCCACCCAAATTTATTAATTTTTTCCAGAGTTCGTCTTGCATTACTGTGTTGCAGAATGACACCTTTTCTGTTGACAATTGATATTTTTCGATTAAAGATTGGTTCACTCCATCCAATTGTTCACAATAAAGGTCTGCATTAACAATGTTTCCAGGTTTCAGCAATTCAAAATGAACAATTCCACGAAAACTCCATAAAACACCCAGAAGCACCTTTTCAGGATGTAAACCATTTGTAACCCCTATTAAAACTGCCTTTTGAGTTTTGGATTATCATATAGAGCTTATTTTTTTGTCTCCACTAATCAAACGATCAAAAAACGGTTCTGTATGGTGGTGCTGTTGAAGCAATACATTGCACGTGATGGATAGGTTGGCTTTGTTCTTTTCGAACAGATTATGGGAGACTTAAACACCTGCTTTGCTTATTTTTTCTATTCTGCTTTAAATGTCCTTGGATGGTCGACCGAGGTTGGTTAAGAGTGTTTGACACGGATTTGCTTCTACTTCTGCCCTTAGCATGTTGTTGTCGACATGCGCAGAAACAACATTACTTTCCGGTCCCCCTATTACTAATGTTTGCAAAATTACCAGCACTAATTATTTCATTGAATTTATAACATACCGTTCCATATCTGGAAAAGAAACTCCGTATATCAGTTTCAGTACAGTTTGGTGGCAATCCTCCCAGAAACACTTTAGGATATTGTCCAGATTTCTTTGTCTTAAAAAAGGAAATACATGTTTATTTCAAAATTTATACTTGAAAGCAAATTAAATCAAATATTAGGTTTTTACAAAAGTACAAAGTTTTTACAAACCTGTTGAGAATCTCTTGAGCTGCACACTTTAGGATCAATCTAAGGCAAATGAGAAATCAAATCATCATGAATTAACAGTATATCCATTATAATAGCATAAACATATGAATCAGAATTACATACTGTGCGTCCATCAACTTCATGAGGGCCACTGGAAAGTACTTTGGCAACACAACTAACATCTTTGAATGTAACAAAACCAAAGCCACGAGATCTTCCAGTTTCATTATTTTTCATTACTACACAATCAACAACTTCTCCATATCGAGAAAAGTACTCCTGTAATTTCTCTACAAGGAAAAAGATTAGATTTAATTATACTGAAATAGTAGACAACATCACTAACCAATAAATTTTCAGCACTTCGTCATCAACAGAACAACAGTTGGCACCAAATATAAAGGATGGAAAAAGGAATAGGAATTTTTATGATACACACAGTTTCATAAAAAGAATGGTTATTTTATTACATAATTCATAAAAAGGATAAATAAAGAAGTTTACAATAAGAATGCAGGTAATTACTGTAACTGATGGTTACAGAAAGATTCAATAAATACCTATTAGAAAAGGAAAGCATGAAACTTTGAACCAGCATAAATTCGATAAACCTTGCTTCTTGCAAATTTATAATTTTAGTATTATTTAGAAAAACACTTTAGCAGTAGTTTAAAAAAAATAATTTTGTTGCTTTCCTAACAAAGTCTTTCAGTAGACGATACTTTCCCCAACAGTTTATCAAGTGACAGCTGTGGAACCCTACAATCCATCTTGATTTTAACCTTTAAGAGATGGGGCAGTTTGGAAAGGTTTCACTTAAAAAGACGGGAAACCCAGATGCATTTCCACCCCCTTTTAGCTGCCATTGTAAAGGAAAAATTCTACTCTTTTGTAACTTTTCCTGTAGGTCGCCTTTGTTAATTTTCAGATAAGAGACTACGGAATAAAATATAAAAGAATTTGTTCTCTTTTCTGCTGCTTCCTTTCCCTAAACTAGGGAAACATATTATGGTGAGATTTCGTAGCTAAATAATTGTCGCAAGTTGGAATATTAACTTTTGACATTGCGTCATAATGAAAATATGCCTTAGCAGCAAGTGCACGCCTATAATCAGTTCAGAGTTTATTCAGCTTTTATTTGTTTCCAAACTGAATTTAGAATTACATGTACTAATTAACATTTTAATTTATACTCGAAAATGATGTTTAACTATTTGTTTCTCGTATAAATTGGCAGTTCGCTTTTATTTGTTTCCAAGCATTGTGTAACAGCTTATATTTATATATCAAACAAATCCCATTGTAGTTTTCTTATATTAGTTTCGTTTACCTTTTTCATTAGTATTCTTATTCAGTTTAATTTTTTGATTTCCCCACCCCATTGTATCGTAAGTTATTTCATCTTTCAACTACATTATTGTTCGTTGTTCTTTATTGTGATAAAAGCTTTTTTTATCCTTTAGCGTTTTTTTTTTTTTTTTTTAATTATTTTCCTTTAATTTAAAAACAGATTTTATTGATTATATTTTCATTGCATTGCACTCCATTGCATTTTACATGTTTAAAACAGCAATATTAAATACAAAAATTTTAATAAAAAGGGGAAATATAAAGAAAAAAGTACATTTTTAATGACACTGTAAAGTTGGTGAAACTAATACTAATGTAAAATTGCTAAGATTTCACTGCTGAGGGAAATGAAAGGGAATTTACGAAACCCCACAGGTGGGAGGCGCGAAGGTCATCTCGCATAAGTGGCAAGGGAGGTTATTCAGACAATGACTATCTCCGCACCCTGAAGGATGAGGGGAGGGGAATTTGCTGGCCGATAATTCGGCCACAGCCGTCTTTTTGAGACACTGCAGCTCTGGCCGATTCTTAGGACACCCGTCTATTAAAGGTTAAAAAAGAAAGACAGTGTCCCCCTCAAAAGAAAAAAACTAATGATAATTGAAGGAAAATTACTCGACCAAAGTTTTTTTTTTTTTTTTTTTAATTCTATGATAGCTAAAAATGATGTGTAATAAGAAAGATGCCCAATTTGATACTTTGCAGCACAGATACAGCAGACATCATTTCTTTTTTTGTCACATTTTCACACTTAGAATTTGTAGAATGCAAATTCAGTATTCTTTTTTTTTTTTTTTTTTTTTTTTTTTTTTAATTTAGCACTACACATATTTTTTTTAAATACATAAGAGACCATTTCATTCATTTAACAGACTAAATGCATACAAATTGTATGATTAAATTAAAAAACTCTCGATTATTTTTTCATCTGATGACTGCTGAGCTTCTCAGCTTTGATAATGCATTGTTACGAATTTTATCATAATTACATGTGAAACTGTTGTTTTTCTTTTCTATAATGTAACATGAAAATCTAAAGCAGCTAAGCTTGCCGGAAAAGTACGAATACAGGGGCAAGCAAATTTAACATAAGGTAAATGGTCATCTTGCTAATTTGGTGAGATATAGCCTTGTTGGTTACCGTTTTGGTGACTAATTTTTGTCCCCAAATTTGGTGAGAAATTGCCAAAAGTCACCAGACTTGGGGGATCATTTGGTCTGGGCCTCTGTATCATTATAATACAGAGGGTGTTCACACATTTTTGAAACAATTTTGCAAAGATTTATATATAAACAAATCTTAGAATTTTATTTTCTCATATGTCCAATCTGTTAGCCCTTTTGTTGAACTATCATATTATAATCTTCATTTCCAAGATAAAAGTCCTTTTCTTAACTTCCTAAAACCAGGCCGAAATTCTCATAATATAGCCTTCACAATGTGATCCAAAACACTCCCCCCTTTGACTTTTTCCTAATCAGAAAAGTCATTAGAATTGTTATTTGTCCCCTTCACGGATGCAGTAAAATTTACGTTTGTCGGATGCTGTTCAGTAGTCTAGAACGGGTATTTTTGCGATTTTTCGATGTTTACTTTGCTTTAATTTAAATTAACCTATATCCAATGTAATATTTATTTCGAGCACAATGTAGGCAATGTTTATATAACATCTACTATTTCTGATCAATCTTGACAAATAATTTGTGAATTTTATGACGTTTTTCACACTTCATTTATATTCGTGTAGTTTTTCTATTAAAAATTATAAAACGAGAACAAAACTTTACAAAATATAATACATATGAACTAGCTTTGTAGGTCTGTAGGTTGGAATGCAATTTTTGAAAATCTATTTTCATTAACAAAATAATTTTAATATTCAGTATCATTAAATGATTAGAATAAGATTAATTATAATTAGATTTTGAAATGAACTTACAGTAATACAAAAACTTTAAATAGCAATAACAAACTTCAAATCTGCTTTTTCCCTGAATTTTGTTATTATAATATAAAAAAGAAAATCTGAGATATATTGGTTGCATTTGATCATTTAACATTGAAAAATATTACATTGGACTATCAGGCAAAGGAGGTATGTCTTAAAAGAAAATTTTCTTTGTAAAACTAGCTTTTGTTTATGTTAGCAGGGGGGGAAAATCTGCAACCTATACATTTTCGTGGTGCCCGAAGAGAAAAAAAGAACACTCTGGCATATTTTAGGGTAAAAGGAGTCGGAGCTAGAGTCGTTCAAAAGAGGTTGACTCCGACTACAGTTTTCGTTGGACAGTTTGAATTTGAAATGAAATTAAAATGAATTGAAAAAAATTAATAACAAGCTGAGTTATTTTTATTTATGGACTGTATACATTAATAAATAGTTATTTTCTATTTTATTGACCTATTAATAAATAAATATCAGGGAGAAGGATGGATGTGATATTTGCCATTACTGATTAAACTGATTCATTTAGTTACAAATCTCACTGGTAAATTTAGGTAAGCAGCAATAGCAGCAAGAAATCCTAAAGTTGATGCCATTCTTAGGAAGTGAGCAGGAAAAGGAGCAATTATTGACCAAGCAATGCGATAAGGAAGTACATATTTGATGATAAAGAGGTTTTTAGAATTAAGGACCTTTTTGGATGTAGATAACACTAATGTTTCACTAACAGAAAGACTATGAAATGATCTTGCAGAATTGGAAACTCTTCTTTCTATACCGTATATAGCCACAAAAAAGTTGCAATCTGAAGAATTGATAGGAGGTGAGAATGGAATGTTTGTTCTTCCTGAAATGGAGGGTTTATTGCAGAAGAAATCATTTCTTTAATGACTAAAAGAGAAACTAGTTCGCTAGAGAATGAGATCTTGCTGGGTTCAATATATAGAGATGCGAAACACCGAATTTTCTTGGATGATGAACAAATTAAAAAGGCAAAGAAAGTCATCTAAGAACTTTCATTAAGAATGAAATTATTCTCACAACAATTGGAGAATTCGAATCAGGACAGTATTTTTGGATAATATTGAAAAGGCTAAGGCAAAGCGAATGAAAATAAAAAACAAGAGCCTTTAGATATAAAAATGAAAAAATACAAACAAGATTTCTACATGGCCTTTGAAGAAATAGAGAAATGTGATTGCGCTTGCAAGACACCTCTTTTAGAACTTATAAAAATCTATCCTGAAAAGTTAAAAGAAGTAGCCGTAACAGTAACAGCTCTTCCTCCTACTCAAGCTAGTGTGGAAAGACTTTTCTCAGTTCTGAAGTTTATCAAATCGGATCTATGGCCCTCCAACAAAGAAGATCTTGCCGAAGCTATACTGTTTCTTAGAAATAACTAATGCCAGTTTTTTCCATTTCATAATAAATGCTAATTAATATAAATAATTTGCTATGCCATCAATTTTTTTTTCTGTAGCATTTATTACTTCTTTTATATTAAAAAAATAAGCTGTAACCCACGTGTATATGTTTACATTATATATGAGTCGAATCAGAGTCATTAAAGTTGCAGGAGTCGGAGTCGGTCATTTTCCCTACCAACTACACAGCCCTGACTCTTAACCTTCATTTTAACATTTGCTAAAGAAAATTAATTTAGATAAATTTGTTAAAGTGAATTTTATTATATAATTTATAATTTTAGAAAATATGAATTTATCAAAGTATTTTTCAGAACAGTTTTAAATGTTTATACTGAATTACATAACAATTTCCTTTCATAGGCAGATTTCGTCTAAACCCATCCTTATATCCAAAGGTTGGCTTGATTTTAAATGAGATGGATGTACATAGGTTTTACATAATAAACTTTTTTATTTATTTTAAAAAGAGTCATCTTTCATATTTTCAAAAGAATAAGGGCATACTGGGTGTTTACACGTACAATGTAAATTTTTTTTCCATATTTCTTCCTGTGATCAAAGAGATTACCCTGAAATATTTTCAAAGCAAAATTAAGAAAACTGTTTATGCCAATTTTTTATAAAGTAGCCTCTTGTGTTTTTCATTTAAGTGTGAAATTTTCTCTTTAAAAAAATAAAAAAAATCATGAATGGAACAAAATAAACTCATGAGAAATAACTCAAACCCCGAAGAACAGGCTGATTACATGTGGAGATTTCCATCAGGAGTGTAAATATGAGCAATTTTCTCTTAAAGAAGTTTATATGAAAGCATCCATCCCCTTAAGCAGATAGCTGCATGCTTTTCCATGATCCAATCCTAATTCTTATACATTTAATAGTAAGTTGGCATATACCTTATTACAGGCAAAATAATATTAATTTTTCTATTAACTTGTCTGAATTCCCTTTATCTCTTGAGCAATTTAATATTTCAGCAAATTAAAACTGGCCGACATTTAATGCAAAGTAACTGATGTTACTTTGACATGAATTAGGAGACAATACATGAGCTTTAATCTAAATACTTTTTGGGATATGTCATCCTAAAAGAGTGTCTAAAGATAAATTGGTTTTATTTAATTTATGATGAATGAAAATCACAAAAACTTATGCAAGTAAGTTTTGTCTCTTATTTATCAAGTAATTATCTTTTATTCATCCCCTGATAAATCAGACAAAATTGCCTACATAATAGAACTTTGAAAGAAGTTAACAGTTCTTAAGGATTTTATGCACTCCAATAAAAAGGGCCAAAATAACATCTTATTATTCATAAGTTGAAGTATAAAACAGAACTAAATGATAAAAGTGGTTTTATCTACTTTCTGGAAGGGGCTTAAGAGCATTAAATCTGGTAATCTTAAAGAATGTGCAAAATCGCTGAATCATAACATATAAATAAAAATATATGTATATGCAGCAAACATTACTAGACAGATAAAAAAATTTCGGTTCATATAAACAATAGAATGCTTGTTGCTTGTTCAATTTTGACAACACAGGCGAGGACTAGTTGCCTCAAAATAGGGATGCTTTCGTGGAGGGACATGCCAAGGGAATAGTGGTAAGAGCACTGAACCCTGGCAGATCTTGCAACTTTCTTCAGGTGTACCGTGAACATGAGACATTCTCCCTTAGGAAGTCTTTCATGATGGCATCTCTCCCCATAAACAGATAGCCCTCGAGTTGCTTGTCTTAATTAATGTAACCTTAACCTTCGTCACTGACTTTTGGAGAGAAAGCAATTTATAACCATGTTATACATAATGGGAAAAGTCTACAGAATTTCTTTTTATGTTTATTCGCTTATACGTAGATTGGACTACCCATTACCTATCGAGATGTTTAATGGTCATCTCTACACAGCAGATGGCTATTATGGTGTAATTAAATATAATATTTACTGGCCTCAGGGAAGAAGTTTAAACATCAATTGGTAAAGTACAATAAGGGTTTTTGCTAAAGATACTTATGCTTTTGTGGAGGACACAAGAACTAGCTCTTGTTCACGTTTTTCATGGGGAAACCCATGCATAAGACCATACAGCTAGCTCATTCATTGGGACCTGAATCAAGGTGATTAAGCATGAAAAATACAGTGTTATGTATTTCATTACACTAGGATCTTCTAAATATGTTTGCCTCTTCAAATAAATTATTAACATTGCCTTCGAAGTCTTTCCCTTTTTTAAAAGACTTATCAAGACATATTCCGTCAACTGAATAATCATATCGGTTTCAGCAAATTTTCCTTTTTTAAATCTCTCAGCAACTTCTTAATTTCGGCCTGACTAACACCTTTGAAACGAGGTACCATTATAAGGATTAAATAGCACAAGGGAAAAAGTTAGCACTCTAAAATTACGAGAGAGTAGGTAAAAAAGGATTCATTGCTTTATTAAAATATCTGATGTGTACCACATGACTTCCATGTATGGGATATTAAATTATACACATTTTTTTCCTGCATTTCATTTAAACTTATTTCCTTTAATTTTGTTAGGGATATATTTCTCATTCTCAATTAACAGACCCGCTCACTATAAAGTGACCACGTCCCGATTTTGGTGGGACAGTTCCACTTTTTGGAGGACTGTCCCCCGTCCTGCCGATTTTCTAAAATGTCCCACTTTTTAGAAAACATATGCATTTCTTACTTTAAATGTACTGTAAAAATATATTACCTATTATTTATTAATTATTATAGCAAATATAAAGAAATAAAAATATATTAATTAAAAAAACACATAAAATGGATGCAGAGTAAACAAAATGAGGCAATGTAACGAATTAGATTTACTCGGTGGTGTTCTATCATTTTCGTTACGTCTCGTCAAGGAATATGTACTGTTAACGGAGGAACAGCTAGCATTAGCTGAAGAGCTATTTGCTTTCCACACCATAAACCACAATCAAAATTTCAGATCAATTGATTGTACGTCACAAATGATCAAAACATTTTTCCACAAAAAATTTCCATGTGCAAGGACAAAAGTCGAAGCAATTATTTGTAATGTTTTTCACTATATTCGTTTTCACAGTTGCAGAAAGAATTAGATTAAATGCTCATTTATATCCATATATTATGATGGTTCCAAGCACAAAGATTTTAAATTATTTCCCATACTTGTTACACTTTTTGATCCAGAAACAGGAATTAACTTCATAAATAATTTTTGATTCAATAAGTTCTATTTTATAAAAGAGTAATTTGAACAATAAAATTATTACCTATTATGAGGATAACACGAATGCAAATTTTAGTGGAAAAGCTAGAAGAGGCATCTATAACGTTTTTACGAAACTTAACGAACATTTGAACAAAAAATTATTGGAGTAGGTTGTACAACGCACATTCTACATAGTACTATTCAAACAGCATCTGACCTACTTCCAGTGGATCTTGAAAATATTATAGCAAAAATTTATTCCTATTTTTATAAATATACTGTGCGTGTTGAAAGTTTGAAGGATTTTTGTGAAAGCGCATAAATCAAATATAAAACAATTATTGGTTACAGCAAAACACAATGGCTAGCTCTTTTATTAGCTGTAGAAAATATTTTAAAAATATATGAATCATTAAAATCATACTTTTTATCACAAGATAAATGTCCAAGAAATATTGCAGCCCTTTTTTGAAAATGACACATCACAAATTTGGCTTCAGTTCATCCACAACCAAGCTACATTATTTCACAATGCTGTGAAAATTATTGAAGGGAACAAAATTTCAAATGAAATTTTCAAATTATTGATTTTATTTGATACTTTCAATTCAAATGAAATCAATAATTTAAAAGTAAAATTGCGAGAAAAAATTGATAACGATTACATTCCTTTAGTTATTCGAAAGGACATCACTAGGTTGGAAGAACAAGGTGCCAATAAATGACCTGATTTTCTGAAAGAAGTCAAAAATTTTTATAATACCTGCTTGGAATATCTTGAAGAATGGGCAGTTCAATTCGAAGATATTAAAAATTTTCATTGGGTGACATTCAAAAAGGAGATTTTATGGGAATATGTTGAAAAATCTTTTTAATATATTAGTAACCATTTTCTTAAAACTAATATTTGTGAAAATGATCTTTTTGATGAGGTGTCATTGGTATAAAGCTACGTTACTGAAGAAGAAATTAAATGTTAATTGTCTGCAAATGTGGAAACATACAAAAAAATGGACGTAGTTATTCCTTCATTTTAAACAGAATAATATTCCTTATGAAAATTTTTGAAAGGTGGAGGACACGTGCTCCCCCCTTCCAAAAACAAATGCAGCAACAGAACGTGTTTTTTCTAGTATCAATAAAATACGGACTATTGTAAAAATGCAGTTGAACGTTAAAACTTTTAAAATCTGTATTAAGCGTAAAATATAATTTGACCAATTCATGAGATAAATTTCACGACATTTTAATAAATGATCCGAATCTATTGCAAAGTATTCACTCGGATAAAAAATTTGAAGGTGAAAGAAAATCGTAACTTTAAATTTTTTTTTAAAATTAATTAAAAACATAATATTCAAACTATACTTTTTACAAATATTGTTATTGTTACCAATAGTTAATAATAAATATATTTTTGTATATTTATAGACAAATATATGAATGTATACATAAAAATATATTTTCTGAATTATTGGTTTGCTTTCATAACTAAATTACAATTCTCATTTCATTCCATATGTCCCACTTTGAAAATGTGGTCACTTTAGCTTACTAACAAAATTCTAGCCACAATTTTTTATATTTTCTGTTTACATTCATGTATAGGTGAGGTAAATATTGATTAGTTTTCTAGAAAACTTATTTAGGCTTTATTATTATTAAAAATGACAAAGAAAGAATACCATAATTATTCATTTGAAAAGGTTAAATACTTACTTTTTTAATTCATGTTTATAATACATCAAACAGCAAATGGCTTTACATACAATTTAAATGTTTTTATAAACAGATGAGTAAATAACCATGTTTTTTACATCTGGCTGATGAATGTGAAAATAAAGTTTGTTTCAATTTAAACAATGCAAGCAACTTCACTCAAACAATATTTTCACAGAACAGAAAGCTTAAAATTACAAAACTAAAGGATGTTAAAAAAATGCTGTTCTAATTAAAAATGTAAAAGTAAAGCTTACCCTGTGTAGTTTCCCAACTTAAGCCTCCAACAAATATCTTCCTATAAAATCAAGATATTCAAAATTAAAACATAAAAAATAAGTAGAACACAAGTTTGCATAAATATGGCAATAAAAAATTTAAAAAAAAAAACTGGGCCTAATCTTTGGAATATGGTAACAGGTAGGTTGGCAACATTTTGGTAAGGCGATAAAGGTTGCTAGCTAGGACTTTAGCTGTGTACATGGATAAAGTCAAGAGTGTGCGCAATGCCATTTTTGTGCAATTCTGGGATGTTTTTTTAAGTGAAAATAGGTTGACGTGTACATGGATACAGTGTATGTGCAATTCTTAAAAACGCGGCAAGGAGTTTGCGATTCTGCACTTTGTTCTCCCAATTTTCGCAGTTAATATTAAATCATGATTAAGCACTTTTGTTCCAAAAAATTTCTAGCATAAGCGTAATTTCGGCTAGCAGATTGTTGGAAAAAAAATCTTCAGGAAGTAAAAAGAAAAGAAACCTGTTTTTACTTCGTGAAAGACAAAATGGCCGTCAAAAAAAAAAAAAAAAAAAGAAAAGAAAAAAGAAGAACTAGAAGGTTGGCTGTAGCAGGGTTGGTTCGGCAAATTTTCGCCAAAAAATTGCCAAGTTACAATAATCCAAAGATTAACCGTTATTTATTTTACCTGGTACCTTGCTGTGAACTATAAGTATGATTTAAAAGATCGGAAACAGAAATAAGAAAAGTTTATCGGACACGTAATCAAGATTCTGAAGAAGATTAAGTAAGTTAGTTAGAAATGTTCATATTTGGAAAGGTTATATACTTTTTCGTTATTAGGTAATTTCATATATGTTCTTTTTACCGGGTTTAAAGATTCAGAAAATTGTCATGTATTTTCGTGAAATTTTTCTAATTTATGAGAAAAAAGGAGTGTACATGGATATGGTGAAGAGTGTGAGAAAGTGTGCGCATGCCATTTTTGTGCAATTCTGGGATTTTTTTTTTTTAAGTAAAAATAACTCGACGTGTACATGGTTTAGTGATATTTTAATTAAATGATAGTTATTTTGTGAATTTTATGTTTGTAGGAATTTGGTATGCGTTTTAGTTGAAGTAAACGTGCATGGAAATAATTTAAATATTTGACACTAAGTATTTGTAATGCTTGCGGTATGAATTCGTTGGTGACGTTTATAATATAATAGATGATTTAGAGGTAAAAGTTTTTGGATATTTTATTTATTTTATATGTGGAAATGTTCATATTTGGAAAGGGTATATACTTTCTCGCGATCAGGTAATTTCATATATGTTCTTTTTACCGGGTTTAAAGATTCAGAAAATTGTCATGTATTTTCGTGAAATTTTTCTAATTTATGAGAAAAAAGGGTACTTTTCCGTTTTGCCGGCGCAAGCGATAAAGTCGCCAATAATGGTACAACCGATGCCAAACAGAATTTTCTCGCTGGTAACCTTTTACGCCTCATTTTCAAAACAAGGCGCTACTTTTTCTTACCAGATTGATTGTTTTTTTTTTCAATACTGGCATGTAATTACATAGAATTTTTATCAGATAGTTCAGTTTTATGTCTAAGGCCATTTTCGGTAATTAAGTCAATTAGGATGCAATCACAGCGCTTACCCGAAGCCGAAAATATAGAAAATGTAAGTCAAGGGTTAAATTCATCCATTCTAATGAGAATGCATTAGCGAAGTAAAGCACTGCAGCTTTACATAATTTCTGAGTAAGCTATTCGTACGAATTGAAATATTTCTTGCATTTAAACTTGTGTTCCAAATTAAGATTTAACTTGAAATTAATGTAGATAATTACTGAGAGCATTAGATTTTTGTAGAGTAGTTTACGTGAGATGAGATCGCTTGGGGTCCACGTGATATGAACCCAGCGAATCAGGATGTTGAACCATAGTAAATTCTTAAATTAATGTCTTTTTACACAAATTCATTGTCTTTATTTATTGGCTTTTATAAATTTTAAGCGATATTAAAATGTTTATGCCTTCAAAAAAAGAATTCTTAGAACTAACATTTTTTAATATTTTTTATGTGTATACTGTATGTTGTCGCCAATAAAGTCTGCTTGGCGAGATTTGCGCCGGCGAAACGGAAAAGTACCGAAAAAAGCAGTGTACATGGATATAGTGAAGAGTGTGCACAATGCCATTTTTGTGTAATTCTGGGATGTTTTTTTAAGTAAAAATAAGTCAACGTGTACATGGTTTATGTGTGTGTGTTATTTTGAAAAACGCGTAAGGAGTATGGTATTGTGCACTTTTTCCCAATTTTGCAGTGAATATTTCTCATGATTAAACAGTTTTGTTAGATAAAATTTCTAGCATAAGTGTAATTCGGCTAGTAGTTTGTTGGAAGAAGTGTTCAGTAGATAAAAAGAAAAGAAACATGTCTTTACTTCGTGAAGACAAAATGGCGGCGGGAAAAAAAAATAGAGGGTTGCTGTAGAAGAGTTCATCGCCAAGTTTTTGCCAAAAAATCGCCAAGTTACCATAATGTAAAGATCAACCTAAATAACTTAATAAAACATCTTTACTTCTATCTCGCACAACCTTAAAGAAACACTTATTACTACCCCTTTCAATCCCACTAAATACCCATTTCGAATTCACTTTAGCTAAGGCCATGGGATCAAAAAATAACGAACGCTGTTTCATTCACACAACACAGAATAAAGCCAAATACAAAATTTCCAGATTTTTTCCCGATTTCCCCCCTTTTCCCGATTAAAGAACCGTAATTCGTCCATTAATATCACATGACATATCCCATGATCTCTCATTTCCCTCACACAAAATAATGCGTAATCGAAACTGAGTACTGCTCACATTATTACCAAAGTCCCAGGTAGTAACCTTTATCGCCTCCAAAATGTCGCCAAACTACCAGTTACCATATTCTAAAGATCAGCCAGGATTTTTTCTGTTTACATTGATTTAGGAAACGTTACGGCAAGACAAAATAGAAGTTGGAAAATCGCAAATCATAATTAGTTCATATTTTTGCCAATCGTTATCGGGTGTTAATCATAATTAGTTCATATTTTTGCAAATTGTTATTAACACCCGATAACGCTCTATTCCTGATAATGCTAAAAATAAAGCTCTATTCTGTTTACAGAACGTTAACGGTAAGGCAAAATGAAAGCTGGAAAATCGCAAATCCTAATTAGTTCATGTTTTCGCAAATCATTATCGGGAGTTTATTTCAATTGAAAAAAATAAAGTTCTATTCTATTTATTCTACGTTTCCTAGTCTATTTATTTCTACCTTTTATAAAATAAGGTAGTTGCAGGACCACCTCCCAAAAAAATCGCAAATAATAATTAGTTCATATTTTTGTCTTAGGTCCTTTCCTCTCCTAGGTACACAGTGATCAGTTTAAACTAAAAAAAAAAAAAAAAAATCAGAATTGAATAACTCTTGGCATCAAAGAGCAACATGGCACTGCTGCCCATGTACACACCGACCTGTTTTAACTTTAAAAAAAAATCGAGGAGTTGCGTTTATTCGTAATAAACTATTATCACAATCATAAATCCCAAATATAACCCTCCGGTTCTAAAATGGCATGCATCACTGTGTGTGCAGTCATTAGTGGTTTGCCACATGGAATTAGTGTTCATTATATAGCGAGTTGCCTGCTTTGGTGACATAGTGGTACTTCTCAATTCTGGGTGTATGTAAGAAAAGTACCCCCCCTCCCACACACACACACAAAAAAAAAAAATATGCGTTGATGGACATCATATGAACAGTTAAATATGGCCAGAAAACAGTGATAGATTGAAAAAATAAATTACTAAACTGAGCTCTAGTAAAATCATTGAGCTTAACAAAATAGTAGAGATTGATGAAAGTACTTATATATCTCTTATTAGTATAACCAAGGCCATCTATACTTAAGGCCTGCCAATGTGAATATATTCTTTTGTGTTTTCGTAGCCACCGTGAAATTTCTACAAATTTGGCGACTGAAATAAGATGCCAGAACCTTTACCAACTTGACAATATCTCAGCGAGATAGTCATTTATATCAATGTAGAGTAAACTTGCCCTTGTAATATAATTTTTTTTTATCAAAGTTTTGGCTCTTGAGGCATTTCATATTACATCATGCGAAAGATACTGCAATTTACATGTACTATGATTAAAATTATTTACATATGTTCAAAATTCGTAACAGTATATAAGCATCATGCTTTTTAATGCAGTGCTTTAAGAAAATGCTTTCTCTTTTCAAAGTTTACTTAGAAAGCTAACAATTTTGCTAGTTTTTTTTTCGTACTTCAGGAAAATTCCCTGAGTGGGCTGCAGGTTTGTAACGCTTGTCAGGGTTACCATAATCTGGCGCACACGCACTCTTCCGAGATGTCAACAAATCGCCAAGGGCCCGTTATCTGAAAACTGCCAGAGGAAAACAGAAATGGTATTTTATTATGGATGGATATTATGGATTATTATTATTATATCTTTTTAATTTAATTTAGTCACTTGTTTCTGTTTTATGAAGTTTTCAGTATTTACTTATGGATGTTGTTTGGATTTTAAATTTTTTAAATTTGGTGACATATTATGATTCACTGTGCTGCTTCATTTTTTAAATGGCTACTTTTTTTATTGTTAGCAAAAAAGGAATTGCTAATTATTGGCAATTTCGCAGGAGAGCCAGGCGGATAAAGTGAAAGTACTTTTTTTCTATGGCATGATCCAATACCTTTATAACAAGATTTGATTTTTCTCAGCAGGTTTTAAAATTAAAAATAAGTCTGAGGAAAAATAAAGCTAGAACGGTTAGAGTAGACCGAAGGGTACCCCTTGTATTATCGCGAAGTTGTTGTTTCATTTATCGCCAAGTTGTTGTTTTATTTATGGTAATCTGAGTAGCTGAATGTTATGGAAACCCTATTATGACATAATCGGTTGCCATGATTGCGGTTTATTTTGAATTATGGGCTGTTTTGCAAGGGTTTCCGGTGTATGTCGGTTAGGAAGTACATTGCTTGTTTAGAGGGTAGAATGGCTGAATGTAATAAGATTAATACTGAAAAGCATAACAAAAAATCCTATTTCAATCTCTTCATGAAACATATTGATAGAAAAGAAATTAAAATATGCTATAAAACGAAATTTAAATCTCCTGTCTGGAATCACTCTTTCAGACATGAATATCAAAATTACCAACAATCATTCGCATGCCGCATACGAGATGTTAAGTTTCAATCAACAGTTAGACAATTTCAACTACAAAAAAGGCAATTAATAAAACTTACCCCGCTTCTTCACTTTGATTTTCATCAGATTTTATCTGAGTCATTATTTAGTTCTAATATCGTTTCCTCGTAAAAGTATTTACTGATATGTCAACCACACACAACGGGGTTTTCGCTAGGAATAACACGGTTTTAACAGTCACAGTTCATGTGACACCAACGAAACAATCATCTGAAAGAAATATTACGAAAACATTTCATCAAACAAAAGAAAAAAAAGTGAGAATGAAATGAATAAAGATACCCAACATTAAAAATTTAATAAAATCTGTTAGGAAAAAATATAAGTGAAGAATTCAGGCATGTAATCAACTTGGTAAGTTTGATAAATCGGAAAAGATATTTTACCCTCTGTGTTTGCTTTAAACGACTGGAGAGTTTTTTTTATTCACCTTTTCTTATTCTAACATATAATTGAAAATGTTCATTCAGAAATATTTACAGAATACTAAAGATGAACAAAGATCAACCTTAATTAAATTATCTTCAGATGCATTTCTTATTTCAAATTAAGAGTTATTATAGCTGAACATTCCTACTATAACGCTTAAATATTAATATAGTATAACTGTGATGATAAACGATATAAAAGCTTAGAATATGTAAAAAATAGGTTTAGAAACAATATTTGTATTATCGTCCGAATTTTGAAATTTCTCATATGAGCGTTGGTGGCACTTCGAAAATCGTGGAGCGCCGCCATTCTTTGTCTTGACATTCGAATTCAAACTTTTCAGCCGGTTAGTGAAAAGTTTGTTTATTAGTAACGGATTTCCTGATGGATTGAGTATCGTCTAGGTAACGTTAGTTTACTAATTGCTTCTCATGTGTATTCAAAGAGTGATTCATTGCTGAAAGGAAACGTTGTTTTGTTTTGTTATATGCATTTAAATTGATTTCTTTGCTACCTTAAATATGGCGGATTTGGCCGATTTAAGTGATGAATGGGATATGGATGAAGTCCCGCAAAAAACTCAAAAAGCTAACAAGAAATTATCAGTGGAACGAATTTATCAGAAGAAAACTCAGTTAGAGCATATTTTACTGCGTCCTGATACGTATATTGGATCTGTAGAACCGGTTACACAGTTAATGTGGGTTTACGATGAAGATGTTGGAATGGTCAATCGTGAAGTCACATTTGTTCCTGGTTTGTATAAAATATTTGATGAAATTTTGGTTAATGCTGCTGATAATAAACAAAGAGATAAAAATATGGATTGTATCAAAATTGAAATAAATCCTGAAAAAAATCTCATTAGTATTTGGAACAATGGTCAAGGAATACCTGTCGTTGAACATAAAGATGAAAAAATGTTTGTTCCTTCTTTGATTTTCGGTCATTTGTTGACTTCATCTAATTATAACGACGATGAACGCAAGGTTACTGGTGGAAGAAATGGTTATGGTGCAAAATTGTGCAATATTTTTAGTACAAAATTTACAGTTGAAACAGCTTGTCAGCAGTATGGAAAAACTTTTAAACAAACATGGACTGACAATATGACTAAAACAGAAGACCCTAAAATCGGGTCTTTTAAAGGAAGCGATTTTACTTGTGTGACATTCTACCCAGATTTAGCGAAGTTTAAGATGACCGTTCTTGAAAAAGACATTGTTGCGTTAATGACAAGGCGTGCTTTTGATGTAGCTGGATGTACTCGAGGTGTTAAAGTGTTTTTGAATGGAAAAAGACTTCCTATAAAGGGTTTTAAGGATTATATGGAATTATACGTGAAAGACAAGACAGATGATCAAGGTGATCCACTAAAGATAGTTCACGAAGTAGTTAATGAAAGATGGGAAATAGCTGTCACCTTGAGTAACCATGGTTTTCAGCAGGTAAGTTTTGTTAACAGTATAGCTACGACTAAAGGTGGGCGACATGTTGATTACATTGCCGATCAGCTAACTTCGAAAATCGCTGAAGTAGTAAAAAAGAAAAATAAGGGTGGAAAAGCAGTGAAGCCTTTCCAAATTAAGTCGTATTTATGGATTTTTATTAACTGTTTGATTGAAAATCCAACATTTGATTCTCAAACTAAGGAAAATATGACTCTCCAAGTAAAAAGTTTTGGATCAAAATGCCAGTTAACTGAGAAATTTGTTAATGCTACTTTAAAATGTGGTGTTGTTGAAGCTATTGTTCAATGGGTTAGATTTAAGGCTCAGACAGAGCTTGAAAAGAAGTGTAGTGGTAAAAAACACTCAAAACTGAAAGGTATTCCAAAGCTTGAAGATGCGAATGATGCTGGTACCCGAAATTCAATTGACTGCACATTAATTTTAACTGAAGGAGATTCAGCTAAGTCATTAGCTGTATCTGGGTTAGGTGTTGTTGGTCGTGATAAATTTGGAATATTTCCTCTTAAAGGTAAAATCTTAAATGTACGTGAAGCTTCTCACAAGCAAATTCTGGAAAATGCAGAAATTAATAATATCATCAAAATCATGGGCTTACAGTATAAGAAGAAGTATCAAACGATGGATGATTTAAAGACTCTGAGATATGGCCGCCTAATGGTAATGACTGATCAGGATCAAGATGGATCTCACATAAAAGGACTTTTAATCAACTTTATTCATCATAATTGGCCTGATCTGTTGCGTCTGCCATTTCTTGAAGAATTTATTACCCCAATTGTTAAAGCCACAAAAGGAAAAGATGAAAAATCGTTTTACAGTCTTCCAGAATTTGAGGAGTGGAAGAAGGAAACACCAAATTGGTCTTCATATAAGGTAAAGTACTACAAAGGTTTGGGTACTAGTACAGCTAAAGAAGCAAAAGAATACTTTTCAGATATGCGACGCCATAGAATACAATTTCACTATGGTGGAACTGATGATGATAATGCTATACAGTTGGCATTTAGCAAGAAAATGGTTGATATGCGTAAAGAATGGTTATCAAATGGCATGGAAGAAAGGAAAAGAAGGCGGGAGTTGGGTCTGCCTGAAATGTATCTATATGCTAAAGGTACAACCAAAATAACTTATAATGATTTTGTTAACAAAGAATTGATTTTATTTAGCAACATGGATAATGAACGATCTATTCCTTCGGTTGTTGATGGCTTAAAACCTGGTCAGCGTAAAGTCTTATATACTTGTATTAAACGAAATGATAAACGAGAAGTTAAAGTTGCTCAGTTAGCTGGGTCTGTTGCTGAGCATTCAGCTTATCATCATGGTGAACAATCATTGAATGGAACAATCATAAACCTGGCTCAGAACTTTGTAGGTAGCAACAATATTAATATTTTGCTTCCTATTGGTCAGTTTGGTACTAGGTTGCAAGGCGGCAAAGATGCTGCAAGTCCCAGATATATTTTTACTATGTTGAGCCCTTTGGCAAAACACATATTTTCAAATCTTGATACTCCTCTTTTAAAACATCTATATGATGATAATTTAAAAATTGAACCTGAGTACTATGTGCCAATCATTCCCATGGTTCTTGTAAATGGAGCAGAAGGTATTGGAACTGGATGGAGTACAAAAATACCAAATTATAATCCTAGAGATATAGTAAAAAATATTTATCGTATGCTTAATGGTGAAGAGCCTGTAGAAATGAAACCGTGGTTTAAAAACTTCAGAGGTACCATAGAGCGTTTAGATAATCAACATTATGTTGTTAGTGGTGAGGTAGCACTTTTGGGTGATAACAAAATTGAAATTACCGAGCTACCCGTTCGCGTGTGGACTCAAGCATATAAAGAAAGCGTTTTAGAGGTTATGTTGCATGGTACAGATAAAACGCCTCCGTTCATTACAGATTACAAAGAATATCACACTGATACCACTGTACGGTTTGTAGTCACTATGACACCCGAAAAAATGGCTGAAGCTCGAAATCAGGGATTGCATAAAGCATTTAAATTGCAGACAACAATAGCAACATCTAGTATGGTATTATTTGACAACAAGGGTTGTTTACGAAAGTATGATAGCCCAGAACAAATACTGAAAGAATTTTTTGAAGTTCGTTTTGCATTATATGAACGAAGAAAGGAATATTTGGTTGGAGTTCTTGAGGCTGAGTCACTAAAGCTTAAAAATCAGGCTAGGTTTATTTTGGAAAAAATTGAAAATAAGATAACAATAGAAAATCGTAAAAAAGTAGAAATGATACGCACATTGCAGGAAAGGGGATATGACTCTGATCCTGTCAAGGCTTGGAAAGAAGCTCAAAAAAACTTGGAAAATGATGAGGACCAGCCAAGTTCCGATACCGAAAGTGAAGTGGATTCTTCAGGTCCCGATTATGATTATTTGCTTGGCATGACTTTATGGAGTTTAACTCGAGAAAAAAAAGAAGAGTTGTTGAAGAAACGAGATGAAAAATTGAAAGAACTTGAAGACTTGAAATGTAAATCACCTTCAGATTTATGGAGAAACGACTTAAAAGAATTTGAAGACGAGTTAGATAAAGTGGAAAAGAAAGAAGATGAAGATGAAGCAGATCAGCCAAAGGTTAAAGCAAAGTTAGGTGGAGGTAAGAAACGTAAGGTAGCTGAAGAATCCAAGCCTTCCATATTTGGTGAGAGAATAATGCCTATTATAGATGATGAGTATAAGAAAAAGTTTGAAAAGAAGCCAGCAGTTCCTGGTGAACAGAAAAAAGGTCGAAAAAAGAAAGATGCAGAAATGAAAAAAGGTGATGATGATGACGACAAAGATGGAGCACTTTCTTCATTAGCAGAGAGAGTTGCTACTCCTGAGAAGAAACGCAAGGGAGCTAAAGATGCCACAAAACAACCCTTAATTAAAACATTCAAAAAATCTCCTGCTACTAAAAGTCCTAAAAAGGCAAAGAAAAATCCATGGTCAGATTCGGAATCAAATGAAGAGATATCTGATGTGTCAGATGTTGACGCTGATGATTACATTCCACCTGAGAAACGAGAAATGGCTCCACGCAGAGCTGCTGCAAAAGCTAAATATACTTTTGATAGTGATGAAGAAAATGGTATGAAAGATGATGATAGTGCTGATGAGGCAAAATCTACTAAGAGTGAGAGTGATGTGGATTCTCCTCCACCTGTGAATGCTAATAACAAAGTTTCTGATCAACCAGAAGAGCGTCTGAATGGTGCATCTTCACCTATTATATCTGACAGTGATGACAGTTTTACTGCTCCTACTAATACAAATGATAAATCTCATGATGATATATTTGATTCATTATTAGGAGCTAAGCCTGACAGCAAACCTAATAATGAACCTCCTGAAACACAGAAATATTTTTCAGATTCAGATAGTAATTCTGACTCTGAGCAAAGCAAAAAACCTATAGCAAAAGCTGCTCCAAAGAAAAGACCGAGAAAGAAAAGTGATGGAAGTTCTGATGATGATTTTAAACCACAAGCTAAAAAAGAGACTGTAGCGAAGGAAAAAAAAGCAGCCCCAAAAAAGAAAGCAGAAGATGGTGTTAAAAAGACAGCTCGTCCAAAAGCTAAAGAAGATGGTCCCAAAAAAGCAGCCCGCCCAAAAGCAAAAAAACAGAAGAAAGATTCTGACTCAGATGATGATTTTGGAGATAAAATGTCAGTGGATGGAGATGATTTGCCTACTCAGGCTGTACGACAGCCTAGAGGAGGGAGAACCAAGGCACCTATTAAATATGATTTTGGTGATGATTCCAGTGATGGATATTGAAGTGCTCAAGTTCATTCATATCTGTACATCTTCATGTGAACTGTGGCTGTGTGGAGTTTATTTTAACCTTTCAACTCATCTGTGATTCAGTGCACCTTTGACCAGGATTTGTAAAGATTTTAAATGAAAAAATACTTTTCCCAAGGTTAAATGGTATTTTATTGCCTCTTTTTTAAACTGGTATTGTATTATAATTATTTATCTTACAATTTATACCATTTCGTGAAACAGATTTTTTCATGATTATCAAGAGTATTATGTGTTATTTTTAATTATTATTCAAACACTTAGAAAATGTTCATTTTAATGTTTGGTGAAGTAAGTATTCCTCTATTATTGAGACTGGATTCAGAAATGGATGCGTGTGTGTATATTTGTACTTATGTATATATATGTACATGTGTGCAACATACATACATTTCTAAATCCAGTCCCGGACAACAGAAGAGTACTGTATTTTCACCAATGAACGAATTTTATGCTTTCATTCTTTTTTTTTTTTTTTTTTTCTTATTTCAATTGAAGCACTATACCAATGGCATTAAGATCATTCTATTTAAAGAAGACGAGTTGAAAGATCTTATTATTTCTGTGTAAAAGGATGCGCAGCAGCATTTATGATTGTAATTGCATATGTTTATTGCACAATGTTTTATTATTTAATTACATCTTGATTTTAATCGTTTGTAATACATATGTGAGCACAGTAAGAGTAACATTTGATCCTGAGGTATGGGTAGTTTATTTATGATATGAATACATCATTTTTAAATACACTGAAACAGATTTTTATTGTTATTTATAGATTTGCAGTAATTTTTGCTCAAGGTAAAATTCTAATGACAATTGTTTAAAAAGTGCATTATGCAGAACTTTTTTATAAGCTTCTAATAGGAATGTATTTATTTTTCATTTAAGTTGAAGTATATATTAATTCATAGATTTAATTTGAATTGTGTTACTACTGCAGCTATATCATAATGTATTGTAGTGTGTTTTGGCAGTATTTTTCTGTTAAGTACCTGTCACAAATTTTAGTTTTGTTTATATACACAATTGAAAACAGTAAAACACACACATACTTGGACCCAGTTTGTGTTAGCATTGTAATTCGATGCATGTTTGCCTTTTTTGTCGCAGGTGCATCATAGAAAAATACGGAAAATACTGTTCTGCCATATAACACTATGGCAGACGGAGGTTTTCCAAAATAAATCTGATGAATATTTAAATGATCAAAATATTTTATTACTTTATTTTGAAATATAAAATTTGCTTTTTAAATTTTTTTATATATTGAATTTCTGTATAAATATGCATATAAGCAGAAGTGCCAAGAAAGTGACACTCATCTAATAATGCATCATTGTAGGTCTTGTATAAATAATAGTGATATGGAGCTTTGAGAAACTGCAGTCAATATATGCGTGTGAAATCATTTTTCAAAAGCTGTGTACAATTTTTTTTTTCATCCATCAGAGATAACATCCTATTTGATGTATCTCTGATCTGATTTGATAACAGCTCTGATTTTATTCTCAGTGATTTTGATGTTATCTGTGATCAAACGTTTGTATTGAATTTAAAATATTCATGGATATTTTTCAGGTTCATCAGATTTGGAAACGCATAATAATTTCCAATCTGTGCTAATCAGATCTGATGATTTTGCATTTAATTAATCGACTTCATAATTTCAAAAAATGTTTTTCGTTAGAAATATAAAAAGTTGTTAATAACACAGCTGTTTTCTTCATTTCAACTGAAGACGATTTCTCATTTGATATCCCTCCCTATAAATCTATTCAATTTTTTAACTATTGATCACCAGATATTAAATGAAATATTGTAAAAGCTAAATCAATGATTAATAAAATGTAAAATGGGAAAATTTAATTTTTCTAAAGTTATTTCTCAGCATTACCTGAACTGCATTTAATCTGTGGTACAAATTTATTTTTAGTGATTACTTAACTATCATTTAAGAGGTGAGTATTAATATTTAATGTTTCTTCAAATATTTAAATATTATACTATTAATTTTACTTATAGTATTATATGCACATTAATTACAAACTATTTTTATTAAATTTCAAAATTATTTAATAAATAAAAATTTTTAGAAAATTACAAAATGATATGAAAGAGCCAAAACACTTAAATTAAAATTTAGAATGATGAGTTAAGTATTATATTTTATTTTAAAACCGTGTTATGTCAAATTTGTCAATTGAGTCTTATTTGCAGATATTAGTTGGTTTTAAATTATAAAAAGTTTGTTTTAAATCATGACTTCTCAGTCCATTCTAGATTCAATAAAATTCTATATCAGTGGTATTCAAACTTGATGCAGTTCAACCCCGAAAAGCAATTTTATAACTCCAGTCAAACTTTTAGTTATATACAATCAAATCAGACTTTTTAGGATTTTGAAACATTCTGTGACCCCAGTATAAATTTTGCCAGCCAATAGTTTAAATACTGCTGGTCTATATGGCATATCATTATCAGAGACCATGATACTTTATTGTTTTCATAAATTTTTTTAAACATGGGACCATTCTTAGGAAATATACTGAAACTGTGGTATCATTATCTCCAGTCCAGCATCACTATTTGTTACCTTGGCCGATTAAATATTGCTATTATATACATATATATGTGTGTGTGTGTTTAGAGACTATGGCATCACATCTGCTTAGTCTGTTGGCTGATTGTTTGTTTGACCTATTGCCATTAGGTCTGCGAGACTAGTTTCTGCATTTTGGCGGCTTGTTACTATTTTTTTCAGAGTTTTGATATTCTTGATTACATCCCTTAAGCTATGTTTATATTCAAACTGTCTATTTCCTTCAGGAGTGGAGGTATGAAACAATTAAGATTTGTCACTTTTTTGGCACATTTATTTATAATTTGAATGTTATAGATACATTTATTTGAACACCATGTTTTTGCCATCCTGTGTTTATCTTGTAGCTAATTTACTTTTCATCTAATTATGTGTTTCATAATATTTCACAAAAGTTTTCTTATATGATAGGAATCCGGCAGTGTGTTTGTAGTGTAATTAAAAGTTCAGAAGTTTCTATGAGTGTGTACATTATATTAAAAAAAATTTTTTTTTCATTATTAGAATTATCCATATAAATGTACACATATTATCTGGATATGGAATGTATTAAACTAAGTTCTTGATATGTCATTTCAGTTTTATACCAGAAGAAAATTTATAAAAGTAGGTGTTAGCTAGAAGACTGAAAGGCTAATAAATACTTGCTCTTCAAATCCTATGAGCAAACATTTTTAGTGAAAATGCATTTGTAATATTTCTTGAAAGAAAAATTGCTTTAGGATTATTTTAGTATTTTCATGTAATATGCTGATTGGGAGAGAAATTCATTAATATTGAATTCCTACATCAGAAATTATAAATATGATGTTTTGCTTTGGTCACAATATTGTTTTTGGAGAGTGCTTATTTGTTATGTTATTTATAATATATAATTATCATTGACTATTGTGAAACATCCAACTTTTATAAATACCATTTTATGCATATTCATTTCTCATGCATAAATTTCATTACATTGCATTATGTATATTGTGTATAATCTAATTGTATCCATTATATAACCATGTCTACATTTTCATCACTTTTTAATGTCTCATAGTTATCCATTAGGTAACCATCTCGGAAATTTCACAGTTCATTAAAAAGTGGATGTTGTCTGACAATTAGTTTCAGGATTTGTGTAATTTTCTGCTAGCAGTTAATTTGCTGTAGTCTGTAAAGTCAGAGTTGTATGTTATGCTGATGTTAGTTCATACCAATAATACTGAGAGAAATCTGGGTGAACTGTGTAAGTGTAAAGGTGTTTATATTTTTCATCCATTTCATATGCTGTTAGACATTTTAACATCATTTATTTGAGATTGTTTTGTGCTACATGTAACAGTAACTTCTGTCATTTATTAAAAAATATACTATAAAATCTTTTGGCTAGTTCTTCGAATGAATTCTTTGTTTTGTTAAGACACCTCAGACATTTAAAGAAAATTTAATGTGTGGAGCTTTTGATATAATATACCGTAAAATAAATATCTGAAGATTAAGCAAACTTATTTGTATAAAAGATTACTGTTATCATCTAGCCCACTTCTACTTAAAACATTAAAACTTCCAAGGAGGAATCGTAATGTGCAGTCACACTGCAAATATGTCCGGACAAGTATCTGTTTGGGAGGGGGTTGCTGCATGCATACTTGGATTAGCATATAAAAATACTTTTGAGTGACTTGTTAACTTATCAATATTTTTCAGTAAGGTTATGAATAATCATAAAAGTACCTAAATAACTATATCAAGAGTTGCCAACACTCCTGATTTTCTACTGTACTTCCACCAACCCAGTTTGCAACATTTCTTTTGACTTTCTCTTATTCTTAAAATTTCTCACAATTTTTTATGTAGCTTGGCTTAACACTTCATTATTTGCACCTTGAAAAGTGAATTTTGGCATCTGAAAGTGCTTAGTTTTTCTCTTGATTGCATTATAAAATAGAACCAAAGTTGTTTCATTACTGAGACATTATGGTATGGTTTTTCTTTGTTTGTGAGAGCACATACAAGGTGTGACACAAAGAGAAAGAAAAAATGAGACTGTGTAGCTTGAAAACAGAGTGGAGTTGGCAAAACCTGTTTTGGTGATGTCATGCCACACACCTCCTCTCTCCATCCAGCCAGTTTCGACTTAACCGACCATGCTAGTGGGGAGTACTGCATCATTGTGTGAACACATGCAACTGCATTCTGGACAACCGGCAAAATGTCTAATGTAAAAAAACCGAACAGCTAATTAACATCATGTTTCTTGTGAAACTTAAAAAATCGGCCACAGAGGAAACATTTCAAATGTTAACCGAGGCTTATGGAGATGAAACTTTGTCTCATACACGTGCATTTGAATGGCATAAGTGGTTTTTTCAAGGAGAAGAGACAGTGGGGAAGATGCTGGGCGCCCAGCACGCTCATCATGATTGAATGAGTTCCCAAGTGGTCCTGTTAATCAATACTATTACATTAAAGTACTAAAAAGACTTCATGACAAAATTCGAGAAAAAAAGGCCACAGTTGTGGAGTGATGGATGGCTGTTACAGCAGAACAACGTACCCACTCACACGGCCCTATCAGTCAAGCAGTTTCTGACCACCAAAAATATTACTGTGATGGATCATCCTCGTTATTCACCTGATTTGGCTCCATTCGACTTTTTTTTTAATGCCTTAAAGTTAAATCTCATTCAAAGGGAACCTATTATCTCAGCTGAAGAGGTTTAGACAAAAATGAAGAATCTCCTGAATAGCCTTCCAAATACCTCGTTCCAGCAATGGCAGCACCGAATGCTGAAGGGAACTACTTTGAAGGTAATAATATCACGTAGAACTGATTCTGTAAATACAGTGATTTATGGGACTTGTCACAACCCCTATGTCCAAAAATGCTGTGCTGTAGTTCTCCAATGAGCGTCTAGTACTACTGTGGTTCATCTGGTATTTATTAGCTTATGAGCACAAAGCAATGAGGTTATTTCGTTTGTTTCACTACTAATTGCTGCGATTTTCATGTTCTTTTAAGAAATTGCAATCCTTTGTCTTAGATATGTGTGCAAAAACAGTAAAATTGCAACCAGATGACTTTACTTCTATTATTTCGTAAAGGGAATATAATATATTTGCGGTGTGTATTGTTTGTAATTTCTATTTTTTTTACTTCTCATGCTGGAAGGGCCGATGTTCTTAAACATTTGCATGCACAAGGACATGAGTAATATATAGAAAAAATTTTCTCAAGAAACAAAGGACCAAAGAGTTATTAATGAAGAATGCCTGTTCTATGTTTTTTTATTGGAGCACAACCTGCCACTGAATGCACCGGATCAAGCTGTAGCAGTATTTAGAAAAATGATCCTTCATAATGAAATCACCAAGCAAAGCAAATGCACAGACAAAAACAGTAGAAATTGCAAAAAAATTAATAGAAAATTAATTTTCTGTTATTTATTGCATTAAAATTGCTCCATTTTGCCTCTACAGATGGAAGCAATAATACCAATGCAAAACTATATAATTGTTATTTCTTTCTTTAATCCAGAGTTTTCAGAAATTGAATTCTGCCCCAACTTTAGAAGGAGACTTGACAGGCTGTAACATAGCACAGCTAATTATTAAAACTTAAAAGAAAATCCACAGGACTTTATGTTGACAAAGCAACAGTAATGGTAAGCTTGAAGACTGGTCTTGCAGTTACAAAAAAAGAAAATTCAAATTTGCAAATTATAAGGTACACCTCTCAGCCTAAAACGGGGCAGTGTCTTCACAAATAAGTGTGGATGAATAAATTGTTGATATTTATTATTATCTTGGAGAAATTGAAAAATATACGTGGACACTGGTTATTTTAGAGAAAGGTTTATCTAGAATCTTCAATTAATGGAACCCACTTCTTACACTTTTTGAAAAGAAGTAAATGCTCCTAGAGTTAATATAAAATCCTCTACTGAAAATTATACAATACCTTAAGTAAATGGAGATGTAGTTACAACTTTCACTGCTGATACAAAGTTCTGTCAAAATTAAAAAAAAAAAAAAAACTGCTCAGCAGGAGAAACATTTTTTTTTTTTTATTACTGTAAGTTTATTTCATGAACAACAAATATTAATGTTTTTGCCTTCAAACCTTAAGAAGGCTTTTTCCTTTTTGGTATGCTCCTTTTTACCATCATTCAATGTTCTTAACACAATTCTACATAAATTCATGTTTTACAATCAATGATTTGTCAACTGTTTAAATACATTTTATCAAAGTTAGTAAAACCAACTTTTGCTTCGTCTTCTAATTCTATATATCATGTGATTTATGGTAAAATAGAAAATCAGAAAAAAGATGAAGATTTTGTAATAGCAGCTATAACTAACTGGCAGAGGAAGACAAAAATAAGTTTTATTTCCACGAAGGTACTTCTACCAAGTATATGATTACGTACCATATAAACTTCCAGTCAACAATGACGTTATTTTACATGCTGAAATTTCATATGTTTCATCTCTAGCAAATACATCTTTTTCTGATATAAGATTTTCTGAACACATTTCCAATTTAATTTAGTTTTGAAAAATTGTATTGATGTTGCAACTGATAAACTGCTGTTGCAGTTTTGTACTTTACAATGAGGAAACGGAAAATGTTAAAACCAACAAGGATTCATACCCAAATAATTGCGAGTTTACCGTCTTGAAAATTCCCCATAGTAATGCAGAATGCAACTGCATGTTTAATATGTTTCACTCATAATTTTAAAAGTCAAACAAGAAAACTCCGCATTATATTTGCGTATTTTCACAGGACTAGTTTCAATGGCTAAATTTAAATTTTGGGTTGTTTATTCTCCTATTAATAAAATTCCAAGTTCCATACTCAAGGACCCCCATTCCAGATATGAATTCCTGGAATATTTACAGGATTCCTTACCAGTATGGTTTAATTTACATTGGTCAAACTAAAACCCTTATCTCATACGATATTTGTTGCCGGAACAAAACGTTTGGTGGAACAGTTCTGAGAAATGCTCTTTGGCGAAATAAGGTTACCATCTTCACTTGGTAAACAGGCTGAAAGCCAAACAAGAATCAGTTTTCGCTCAGATTGGCGAAAGTGACGTTTGCTTCTTCGTGTTGTTTTGTATCGCTCGCACTCTTTTTGTTTTAAATTTTATTGTTAGTAATGAAATAATAATAGAAAGGTGATTGCTATCAATTTAATCACTTTGATCTCCACTCTGGCTCTTCAAGTAACAGATAAACACACTTCTGGTTATAGCAATCAATTATATCAGTAATAGCCAAATTCTGTATACACTAATAGTTTAAAATGTGTGCTGAATAAGCCTATTCATCAGACATTACTTATGTGTATTTTCTGTTGTCTACATTCCAATGAAAATTTGATGGCTCACTGAAAAATTTGTGACCTGGTGAAAGCATTTTCTTGACTAACTTTATGGCTCATAATTACTGTTCTGTCCATTCACACAAACAAACAGACAAAAAAAAAAAAAAAAGACCTATGACAAAAATCTATCTGGCTGATATTTACATCCTCACAGCCAGCAGATACTATTTAGCAAAATGAAGATCAAATAAAGCATATGAATACATGAGCAATCAAACATGTGAGAGTTGTTTACTGTCCCAAAGAACACTCTAATATACCTAAAACACATTAATTATACCAACTCTAGAAATTAGGTGGTGTACATCATTAGTTTGTTTTATGTGATTACGGCATAGCCTCGAGGGATATCTGCCTAACAAGAGGGATCCCTTCGTAGAGGATTTTTTAAAACTGGCTCGTATATCAGTTACAAATGGGAAAAACCAAGAAAACGCCCATGTAGCCAGCCCGTTCGCAGCATTCTAACCTGAGACAGAACTACCAGTGTTCAATGACGCTTCGGTCACTAGTAGGCCCGTGCACTTAGTTGGAAAGTACAATTCATTATGTAAACAGACATGAAGGTGATAATCAGTTGTGCACTGTTAAGTAATCAAATGTTATAAATGCACAGCTGTTACATTTCTTATTATTTATTAGTCATGTTTATATTACGTAAATCATAATTATGAATTAACCCAATAACAAAATGTGTACACTCTTTAGTATTCAAATGCTCATCAATTATTTTTCAACTGATTATTAAATATCCATAATAATTTGCAAAAACTGATGACTACAGTTGGTGCCAATTACATGATCATTATATGAATTAAAAGTAATTTCAAATAAACTTTTTGGCAATGTTCATTTTTGTATTCATACATACATATATATACACATCTAATAAGTCTTATATTTACATACAGATAGAGAGATACGATGGTTTAGAAGTTGTTAATATATATTTATTAGTATTAATGTAATGAATAAGATTTATATTAATGAATGT